AAGCTGAAAAATAGCCTACATTTAATTTCCTTTTATACCATAGTCAGCTGGCAATTTTGAGAAGACAAGAGCAGGACGCAAAAGAGAGCGGTCAAGAGAGGCACGTATTTCATGCTGATAAGGACAAATCCAAAATTACACAAGTAGCAATGCCAAGGAATACACATAATCAGAAATCACATGGAGCTCAAGCTCAGGAAACACAAGACACACAGTTAAATGGATAACACAACAAAGGGTGCAGAAATGCTCAGGTGATATACACATACAAGAAGTAATGACTGAAATAGAACTAGGAGTGTAATTAAAGATAGCTGAAAACAATGAAGACAACAAGCCGAGGAAGTAAAACCAGACAAGTTACAGGAGACCAACAGCTACTGAAATAAAACAGGAATTAAGACACAACAAAACACAGGGGAAGACAGAATCACACAGAAGCAAAGTGAAAGACAAACAGAGCAGAGACTGATGTAGGGATGGTAACTAAAAGTAATGTGTGTATACCAAAACCGCAACACTAGAAAATGAACCATAAAGACAGAAAGCATCACAAAATAAACAAGACTTGTAAACAATAACCCCATGAATAGAACTCTAAATACTAATTTGAACGTAGACACACAGAAAATCCAAACAGAAAGATAACATAAAATATAAGACATATATGACAGACTGTAGAGATTCCCTCAGGGAGGAATAATTAAACAAAAGTATTGTTAAGTGATAGGTTTGTAGCTTGAACCCATCCGCTGGAACGTTGAAGGCAATATAATTACACTGCAAAGCAAGACACAAGTAGGCAAAGCTTCTTCATGTTTCTCGTGCACGGGAGAGAACCGGACAGGCACCGTTCCTTCGCTTGACCCCAGTTGCTCTCGTCCGTCCTCCCGTACACTGTCCTTTTATTGAGGTTACATGAATATGCATAGGTTCATTAACATATGACGTCTTACATAAGGATCATTAACAAAGATACTGTGTGTGTGTGTGTGTGTGTGTGTGTGTGTGTGTGTGTGTGTTCTGTGTGTCGTGTGTGTGTGTGTGTGTGTGTGTGTGTGTGTGTGTGTGTGTGTGTGTTGCTGATCAAAGGGTCAAACATCCTTGGTCAGGAAGAGGGTAGCCTCCCCCTCACCCTAGATGGTTCATCCTAGATAACACGGTGAGGAAGTCCTGCAGTTCATCTAAACAAAGAGCACTTAGAGCTAGAACAGACGCAACTACGTTGATCCTGACCGATAAAACAATAAGACACGGTATGACCTCTCATGCTCCCAAAGTGCTGTCTAATACACACAAAGTTTGCAGACTATCAAGGATCAAAACCTCTACCAATCTACAACTAATTACAAAACTCTAAGCATATATAAGTAAATATTTCTAAGCATAAATGACAATCAACAATACAAACTCTAACATTAAGGTTCACAGTTCTGTAAAAAACACAAACATGAGTCCTCCTCAGAAAGGAACCATAAATAAAACTGTGTCCACCACTCAGGGATCATAACATATTGGAATAAAAAACGCTTTAGGTGCTCAAGTTGAGTAGAAAGGCATAGTATAAGTACCAGTCAATTTACCAAATTCATTTTACTCTGCATCACAGTCCAAGCAATGATTCCAACACTCAGCATCAACATCAGGGAATATATCACAGTTTGAATAGAAAACCTCCACCAGTTAAATGTCTGTGACACAGAGGAACAGGAACAAATCTTGGTACTCTGGGTGTTTGAGCTGTTTTCTGATAATACAATGGAGAGAACTTTAAAAAGTGCATTTTGGGTAAACTTTCATCCTTATGTATTCCAAAAAAAGGCAGCATATGAAAGGCATCGTTTTAACCTACAATTGTTACCAGACTCATCTTCTAGTCCTCCATCTCATGATAGAGGAAAATCCTGTATATATAACATAAATAAACATCACATTTCACTTGGGCTTTTATGAGAGAGCAGGGAGGTTGGCTGGGTCGTTAATGAAGCTGTAAGGTTGTGAAATTATTTGCATAGGAAACAGACAGTAGAGGTGTCAAGCATACGGTAAATGATTCCTGCCAGTGATAACAACCTCCTGACCTCTAGAACAGGGGTCACATGCAGCTCCTTGGGAAAATAAATTATCAGAATTTATTTGAAGTGTATTTTATTTGTGTCAGTTCTTTTTTTTTTAAACACGTTTTTTTAAATTGTAGTTCTAATTTTTTTATTTTTTTATTTTTTTGTCTGTGAAGGTTCTCATTCATCCAGGTCATCGTAGTCAAAGGAGCTTGCAAAGAAAAGCGTCTGGACTTCTTTAAGTTGCTTGAAGATGTTTCACCTCTCATCCGAGATGCTTCTTCAGTACTGAAGCTCCTTTGACTATTTAATTTTTTGTTGCTCAAAATAAGCATATCAAGACTTTCAACCCCAGGGAGGCCAAGTATGGAGAAATGTCAGGAAAGAAAAATATCTGAAGAAAATGAAACATTTAATGATGCCCGGGCAGATTCATTTCAGAATCATCAATCCCTAGGGGAAATTATTTTGGTTACAGTGCTCCAGTATAAACAGTAACAAAGAAAGACAATACACTAAGTAAGAAATAGACACAATATATACATGACTTATATAGATTTATGTCACTTATTGATAAATAGCTGAATAAGAAGAAGAGCGTGTGCAAAAAGGGTGTAGCTATTGCAGTATACAGTGTCTTAAGTGGATGAGTTGTACAGGGAAATGGCCACAGGCAGGAATGATTTCCTGTGGTGTTCAGTGGTGCTTTTTGATACTCAAGTCTCTCATTGAACACAGCCTTTGCAGAACAATACCCGGAGGGAGAGAAATAAAGCTGAAGAACTGAAGCGGAAGGCTGATCTGAGGAAAAATCAGTTGAAGAAGTGGATGAAGTCTGCAAATTCAACTATGCAAGTTTTATGGCCATTTAGCAAATAGTCAAGCATGGGAAGCCGTTCACGGAAGGAGAATATATGAAAGAATCATTCATTAAGATTTCAGAATGGGTCTTCAACACCTTCTAGAGTCTAGAAGGTGTTGAAGACCCATTCTGGTTGAAGACGCAATGATAACTCCCATTCAGCTGACTGATAATATCTTAAATTCAATTACGCTGGATGGCCTTAGAGAATGTAAGCAGATTTTTAATTGTCTTTTGTCACTTTAACAGCCTTCCTGCTGAGAAAGACTTCAGTCATGGCCTGACATGCAACGGCAAAGTACAAAAAGCCAAAAATAAACCATTAAAATACAATTTAAAAAGCCAACAAAAACAAACAATTATTATTCCACTAAAAACCATAAAACTTATTGGGTTTATACTATTAAATGTGGAAATAGTGAAATTTGTCATTTTTTATTTAAAATAAAATTTCTCTTTTATGTAGGACAAAGTTTGGATAATTAGTTTCAAGGCCTTTTTTGAAATTTTGTTTTATTTGATTTACTCTTAAGTTTGAAGATGTGTGCTGACTGGTTTCTTGAGTTTCTGCAACATTCCTTTACAATGTAGAAAAACGAATATAATACTGAAATTGCACCTTTTTACCCAGATATTTGAGTTCTTTAGACTGATAGAAAGGGGAAAAGACTTGATGGCCAATGCCCCCCCAAAAAAAAGCGGAAAAAAAAAGAAACAAACCAAAACAACGAACAATAGGAGGACAAGCCAATGTGGGTGGGGTAGACGTTACAAAGAGGCAAAGCTAAATGAATAACAGAAGAGAGATTAGCAAAATAAAACACGGGCAATAGTGAGGAGGGAAGATAATGACGCTGATAGGGAGACATCAGAAACATGAGAAAGTATCAGTTACTCAACTCAACAAATACTCAACAAGAACAAAGACACATTTGATTGAGTTATAGCAGCTGAAGCTTGGCCCCCCAACATGTTTAAAGGATTTCCCATCCCTTATCCTAAAAGAAACCTCGACTGAAACAAGCAGCTATCAAAGTAAACCAATACCAAAAGACCTATAGCAATATATAACATTATTTGAAAGGATAGGTTAATACAAATCATTGCAACTCTTTTTTAGTCCAACAAAATGGATGATGCTAAGTAAGAACTGGGTTAGAACAAGTCGTAAATTTGTAATATCAAAATAATTCCTCTGCACTTCACGGATTCCGTTTTCTTCCCGTATAATAAATGCAGTTAAATTTGAAGTATTATGTAATCCATCTGACCATTTACTGGCTGTTTATGTTGAGTATCAATGAAATGATATGGAGAATCACACTGATGTCTAGTCTATGTTTACTCACCACTCAGACTTGTAATACAGCAATAACCTGCTGATGCTGTGATGCATCTTTTATCCCTTTATCAATGATAATGCTGCAGATATAATGTAATCTTTCAGGTCTATGTGAATTTTCTAGAAACTCCAAACTGCCCCCCTCCCTTCACCTACCGCATCATGCTCTGCTATTTGCTGCAGCAAGCTTTTGTTTAAATGCAATATAATGAAATCATAATCATTGCCGAATTCATTTGTAAACTCTATCCTGCACATAATACACTGAATACATCCATCCTAATCTTTGCTCGGTATCAGGATTAAACTCCTCTATAAATAATACTTAAATAATAGCTTTTACTGCATCTCAGAACTGTGTGTGCAGCTTTTTCTGCAGCACTGAGGCCTTCAAAACACAAAACCCTCAATGCGCCTTTTTCTCAGTGGGTTTATCGGTCGCCCTGAACGATTTGATTATTTTCACCAACTGTATCAGTTACCCGCTGAATCGGTTTCTTTTACCTTGTTTTTAACCTATACTGATTGTAGAAACACAAATATGGCACGATTCATAAACAACGATTAAAGGAAGAATGAATATTGCGGAGATTTAAAAAAGCAGAAGCCGCTAAAGGGAAGATAACTCGACTTATTTTGTTCCTAAAAAGAATCGTTAAGCCCGCGAGTCATTCAAAAGAATCCAATCGTCGCGAACATCACGTGAATGGAAATTTCCAGAAGCAGGTTTAAAGCCCGCTGCGGTCTCTCCCCGCCTACATTAGAGTGACGACGGTGGAAGAGTGAACTTCGAGGAAGACGCTACTATCGCTTTTTTTCTGAGCTAATTGGCTACAAACCAACAAATTCGAGCATTTTGAGTTTCTCTGACAGCTTTTCGTCTTTTGATATACTTCTGGGGGGCAACAATTTGCCACAGCGTTTGCCCTTTGAATCGACTTCAACAGAAAGAAGACCTTCTACTTACAGTCGAACTGGTAAGACAAACATCGCCGTTGGCTTTATTTTATTTTTAAGTTAGAGTTACACGAAACGGTTTCAGATTAAAAACAAACAAACAAACAAAAAAGGTTGTGACTAATGCAAATTGAGTGATGTGGATAAGTTATTATTTGCGAATGTTGCTCAACGATGGAGACGCGTTAGCTCAGGGTTACGTCAACCTGGAACTTTCCAGTTCAAGCCGGTTTAGCCGGTGAGGTTACACAACACTGCTTTGCTCACTAGGGGCAGCAGAGTGGTTATGCAACGGTTATGCTGTCTTTTAATAGACTTTAACCGCTGACACACGTTTCTAACACAGAATGTAACTTAAAGTATTCCTTTTATAAGCTGTTTAATGTTCAGGGAGCAGTTTTTAGTTTTAGCTTGCCTTGAAATGTGATTTACCAGTAGTCTGCAGTCGCGTTTTGCTCTAGGGATCTTTCTCTCTAGGTCATTGAGAAAGTGGTGGTAATGCCACATTAAAAAGACTTCGTTCCAGTAAAGTATTTAAAATTACTGAGGCGTGTTGATCACTTAACACTAGATTTACTAAACCTGCACAAATTTGCGTAACTTCCCTCAATCCAACACCTACTAGAATTACTGGCTTTTTTATTTTCTGGTGCAAGTTCTGAGGTGTTAATCATCCCTGCTGAGATTTTTCACAGGTCGTCAGCTCGTTTCTCCTCCAGCTTTTGTTGTGCCAACCACCCATTATCCTTGAGGTCTGCAATGTGCCAGGCCTCAAGGATAATGGATAATGCATTTGTTTACTCAGAGTAGCTCAGATCCAAGACAGGCCAAACCTCTGTGTTACAACCGTCACAAATGTCTATATAAAATATCCCACACATTGACTGACCTGCAATTATGAAAGGCACACATTCATACCTTCCTTGACTCTCAGCACAGATCTTCCATTATTCCATTGTGACTGTGTATGACTGGCATTGCATTACTACAGCACAGCGCTGTGCATAAATGCAGACCGACTAGGCAGGAGAATCACACACACATCAGGATGGTCTCCGTATCACTGCCAGCAGGAAGAACCTCTCCACGCAACAGGCTTTTGGCCTTGCTTCAGGAAATGGACGAAGCAGACTGATGGAGGAGAGGTTTCATTTGTCCAGCAGGCCACTGATATCTCCTCAGAAGAATCTGAAAAGGAGACGGAACAAGAAACCAACATGCCTCCACGGAAGAGGAATATGTCTACAGTGCATCTCCTTACTTGGGGAAAGGACCCCAGTGATCAGAAGGGAGAGAGGCTGGCAGAGAACGTAGTCATGAAACTGTTTTTGTTTGATGGGAGCAATGTCACAATGGACAATTTCTTTATTTCACTGTCACTGTCGCACAGACTGCTGCAACGCAAAACGACATTAAGGGGCACAGTGAATAAAGTCCGGCGTAAACTTCCTCAACTTGCGCGGATGTATTCCGTAAGAGCAGCAACACGCAGGTGGCCAGTAGCGGTTTTCTGCAATATACTGGACCTAGCGGTGGTGAATGCCTACATTTTGTACAAGGCATGTACAGGGTGGACAGGCAAAAGAAGATTGTTTCTGAGTCTTCTAGCTCAGGAACTTCGTTGCCGATTCATACAGCACAAGGAAATATTAGCACAGAGGCAAGCTGCTGCAGCTGCTGTGACAGGGACTGTAAAGACAACGCAGTGCCAGGTGCAAGAGAGCCGCAACAGGAATCGCAGCAGATTTACCTGTGCAACATGTCAGAAATTCACCTGTGCCAAATGCAGGGATGATGGACACTGGGTCTGCAAACGCTGTAAAGTTTGAAACACTGAAATAAAACAGACTTGTGTACCCATATATTGTGAATGTCTGTCTTTTGTATCGATTTGGCAGGAATTTCTGAAGGTTGTAACAGAGGTTTGGCCTTGGATCGGAGTAAACAAATGGCAATGTTGCCCACGCGCGCACGCAGCAAATCGACATTATTCCCACAAGTGGAAAATCTGCATTGTTATTGCAGAAAAGTGGACAGTGCAAGACAAAAGCAGCAAAAATAAAAACTGTACACAGCACAGTATAGAAAGTGCACTATACTAACGTCTGGAAACATAAATATGGACACGTGTATTGAAAAGTGTGTGTGTGTGTGTGTATAACTAGACTTTATGCATGTTATGTAAGTTGTGGCTATATAAATATATGTACTCTGTGTGTGTGTGTATGTATGTTTATGGACAGGCATGCATGAGAAATATTGCACATAAAAACTACCATAGTGTATTGTAGGTTGCAGGTAAGGAAAGACCAGAATCTCTTCTGGTTGGGGGGCAGGGGGTGTGTTTGCCTGTGAAAGCAGGGTGTTGGGTTCAGGGGAATTTATGCAAATTTGCGCAGGGCTAGTAAATCTAGTAGTAGGGACTTGCACCAGGGGAGGAGAGAGGGGGAGGAAAAAAAAAAGCTTAGTAATTTTAGTATTTTTCTTGTCGTTTTTATGCAGGTTTTCTTTTCTCTTTCCAGCCTTTGACAGAAGACCAGATAATGGCCAAGGGAACAGGCTCTCATTCCGAAATGGCCCGTGCTCGCCAGAGCGATGGCCTCAATGTGATCTTTGACCAGAAAAGCCCCAGGTCATCCCGATCCTATTCCATATCCCGCTCTGTGTCCAGGAGCAGCTATGACAGCAGCCACTCCTCAGGCTCTTACAGAGGGCGCGACAGACGCAGACGCTATTACAGATCATCATCTTCATCGTCCTCATCTTCTTCCAGGAGCAGGTCTTCTCGCTCCAGGTCACGCTCCTACCCCCGCTGCCACAGACGCTCCTCTCGCTGTCGATGTGACGACCACAGCAGACGCAGCAGAGGTCGTTCTAGTCATTCCCCACCCCGCTGTTACAGGGCCCACACTCGCTCATTCAGCCGCTCGCCAGCCAGATGCTCGCATCGCAGACGGTACAGGTCTCCCTCCAGGTCCCGCTCAATTTCCCGATCCAGGTCATCCTTCCGCAGGTCCAGGGGCCGCGTGAGCCAGTATCGATGCAGATTTTCACAATCCTCATCCAGGAGCCGATCCCGATCTGTTGGACGTTCTGTCAGCCTCAGTCTGTGTGGTAAGCTCTGTAGTTGATGTCAGAAATTGGCAGCAAGCAGTAATAATGCTCGTATTAAATTTCTTCATTTGGTTTGTGTCGAGCAGATAAAAGGGAACTCCTCGAAGCTGCAAAGGCAAACGCCATGAAGATTCTGGGAGTGGAGAAACTGGAACTTCCTGAGAGTGTGAAACCAATCCTGTCAGAACCCGAGCGTGAGCCAAAGAAAAGGGTGAGACACGGCTCCGAAAAGACCGCAGCACAGGTGAGTGTGGCAGGAAACGTTACCTGTATGTGGAACCTGCCATTCACTGAAGGCGGAGCTTTTAATACTCTAAAGACTTTGATGTGCATTTTCTTTCCATATAAAGACGAGGGATATGAAGAAGCTTAGAAATATCTCCTGTGCACAGCAGTGCTCTCTAACTTTTAATCACAAGGTAGAGGTTAATGCATTGTTTTTAAATGATTCAGCACTCAGACTTTATAGCTGTGACTATATTGTGGTCGGTGTTGTTGACTTTCCTGTCTTGTTTAACCTTTTGGACCTTGAGGGGAACACATGCTCTTTATTTATTCCTGTCTTCATAGATGACATGACAGTGGTCTCCTTCACTCATCGGCACCTGGGATTAAAGGGCTGTCATGTGACTTGGGTGATAACAAAATGTACTCCTTGTAATCTTCACAATCTGCATTTTCTCCACTAGAGGCCAAATAAATGCAAATGTAGATGTCACATCTCACATTTTAGATACTTGCTAATTGCACACATAGATACAGCCAACTCAGATGTGTTATTACTGATTCACCTTGTAGAAAGGAAGTAAAAATTTGATATTACAAATGTATTTATGCTTGCAGTTGAAGTGGGTTGTTTATTTAGCAGAGCCCTCCACTCGCTGATGGAGCGCACGTGTGTGGACTGCATTATAGAGCTAAAAACAGATGAAGAACTCCTCTCCATATACCAAAGATAAGTTGGTACACATGGTGTGTGCTAAGGGGCTGGGAAAGCTGCGTGACCACCATTCTGCAACTGTATATTTTTCCTTTTATTATTATTATTTTTTTTAATAATTTGTTTTGAGATTCTGTTTCAAGGTCTTACCTTGAAGCTTGGATTAAGTGTTTGGGGGTTGCATGAGAGCTGTAGTTTGTTGGAAGTTATACCTACCTACGCAGTAGAAAAGCTTAACTGTGTTAGAAGCAGTTAATCTAATATGACCTTCACAAACTGTCAAAGCTCACTCTGCCTCCAGTTTGGGGCTTGTGAGTAACTACTTGTTGTCCTTGTTTTTCAACAGGGCACACAGGAGGAGCCTGATGACGTCTCCAGCCCAAGGTCGTCCCAGAAAGGAAAAATTGCTTTCAGCATTAACGTAAGTGACCTAAACTAAAGTGAGTCTTCCTTTGTTTCACACTGCTCTGAATCACTCGTGATAATAAAATAAAAATTGTTTGTTTTCAGAACTCTGTTGCTAAGCCAACAGCTGCAGCTCCTCCTACAGCAAAGGTAACTCCCCGAGTGGACAGCGTGGAGCGTAGGAAGCCCTACGGCCAGTGGATCCCAGTCAGATCAGGCCAATCCTCGAGTGCACGCAAACATACCTAAACCCGCACTCGCGGGGCAGAGCACATGGACACTGTACATGCTGTATATACTGTACATATGAGATGTTCACACATCGGTGTTTTCTTGCAGATGTTAAAGATTTGTGGGAAGAAGTGAAGAATCGTTCAGGTGGGATTATTTTTATTTTTTTTGTTTCCTTGTGTTTTTTGTGATGTTTATAAACTCAATAAAGTTATTTCACATAATACTTGTTTCTGGACGTCCTTTCATACGTGAAGGCGCAGCAGTGCCAAAGAGACTTGTGTAATTTCTTTTTTTTCCCCTCTTAAACCCCCAAGGGTTTAGTAGTTGGAAATCAGCTGGAAAGTGACCTGCAGTATCTGAAATAGCCACATAGTGTCAGCATTTCCACTGCCTGCAAGGTTGGTTATATAAAGGCCTGCTTCTAGAAGGTTCCTGACCTCAATTGTCAGATCTGATTTGTTCAGCTGATTCAAGCAGTGGTAACGCAGATCAAAAAGTGCATCTCCAAAACCTTGAGCATTAAAATAAAATCTTTTAGAACAGTTATTGATAAATCTGTACCTGTTGTAACATAGCATGACATGACACTTCCACTTGTTCTGTTTTAGCCCAGGTTAACACCTCTAGTTATAATGCTGTACATTTACTTGACTAGGCCTGACTTACTAGATTTGGCTTCCAATGGGTGAGACATTTTTGTAGTGTAGTTTTTCTTTTACACTGCAAAGGGTGATGGAGTATTATCACCCTGCAGGGTAAGCACCATGGGCAGCCAACTTTGAATGCAAAAACTTTCTTAAGGGGATGTTCTTGGAGCTACATTTTAAATAGTGGTGTTGGAGAACAGTTCAGGATGTGCCTAATGTATTTCAAAGTATGTTTGCACATGTATTTAATATTTTCCAGGCAAAATATAATAAATAGCAGTGCGATACTGGTAAATCTGAGCTTGATACTCAGATATTCAAAGGTGGATTCACCGCTTTGAGCGCCTTACTGCCAGACTAACAGTCTCTGGCTGTAAGCTGACTTGTAATTGTGATTAATGACTGATGGGAGATACTGCTGATTACTTAGTACTGACACACAAAGCAAGCGTTGAGCTTGTTTTAACAGGAAAAGGTGAGAAGACAGGTTTATCCTGACATTTCTGCGTGACTCAATGATCTCCCCCCACCTTTATGAGCAGACACTGGCATCAGTTGTGCCTTAGTTTTAAATCAGTATTGCTTTATAGGACACACCAACTGTCGGTTGGCTGTGAATGAATCAAAAGTGTCAGACACAACTGAATTTATGCAACGTTTCTACAGCCAGTGTCCTCAGGCTAATCAGATAAGACTTCTTAAACCTGAACACCAACAGCAAGTCAGATATCAAAAGGAAAATCTGAAGACTTCCCCTGCTTTTCATCAGCAAAACATAAACATGCATTGTGTTTAAGAAGATCTCATAAATTTCCTTTAAGGGTCTAACTCATCCAAATAAAATAAATTTCAAGTAAGGACACATTTCATGTCATTTAACCCTTCTGGCTCTGTCCTGTCGCTGCTTATCCAGTAGAGGGCACAGTGACCCTACGTTCAGGCATGGAAAGCTGTTTGCATGTCTGCTCTGAAGTCACAAGGCTTTGTGTTCACATATCTGCTCTGGGGAAGTTAGTGGCAAGATGCAGATGATAAAAGCAATAAATTGAATTACCCAACTGTTGCTCCGCGTCCCGTTCTCTTCGTGCACCTACGCTGAAACCCTGTTGGCTGACATTCTGTGCTAAACATGCCCCCAAAGAGATTCAATGGTGAGTTAACAGTTCATTCTCACGCTCAAAATCGCTCTCGTCATGAGACCACACACAGAAGCAGCCACAGGAAAAAAAAACAAGTGTGCAAGATAATGAGATAATTGGAAGTGGTTTATTAAAAAATAAGAGTTCAGAGACAGACTTTTCATACTGTACAAGTAAAACAAAATTTTTTTACATATGTCAGCTCAAAAACCTGGCAACACTGCATTTTCGCTCATAAACACAGACTTTAAGCAAGAAGGAAAAAATAAAAAGCGAAGCTCTAAAGTGACCTGACGCTCTACACCGCTGTGCCCCTCTCCAGGTTTTGCTTGATCTCTGCTGTGTATTTGCCATAGAAACGCTCCGCCTTCTTGTTGAACTTGGCGTTCCTCTCGTTGATGTAGTCGATGTCGGCGTCGTCGTTGTAGGCCCTGCGTCGGCTGTACTTGGACCGCTTCTCAATCCTGACACAAAGCAAAAATAAAAGCAGCTTAGAGACATTTTCATAAACTGGCGTGGCCTCCAACTGTGGCAGATCCAATAACAATAACTGGCTGCAGGCAATAATTTGGAAGCATGCATTTTTAAATTTGGCAAGCCGAGTGGCGATGGAAAACCTAGCGCACATACTCGGAGGAAAATACTGTCAATTTGTGAGCTCCTACTCCTCATCCACCCTGTCTTCAAAGCATTGTTGTGCGTCATACCCTGGCAACCGAATCCTTGTCTAATGCCCTGCAGTTGCATCTCCAACACAGTCCTTCGACTGTCTTAAATATAGAAGAGCTTGGGGGAAGACCGGGGTAAGAAAAAGGTCAAAGATTTCTGGAGGAAAGAGAAAACCTTCAGCTGAGTGACATTAAAAGTGAGTGAGGCAGAAGGTACTGTTAGACCTCTTTGTCTCGCCACCTTAAAGTAGCCTCCAGTGTGGTTATCATAAAGCTTTGCAAAAGCATCACACCATCTGTCTGACATTTAGCCGTGCACACAGGCTGTTCAGGTTTGACAGTGCCCCGACTATGACCCGGTTCCACCATCACGTGACCTAGTCGGTCACTTACAGACTGGCCAACACTCATTTAATCTGTGAGATCTCCAAACTTTATTCAACACAGTTCTGTCTGAAAGTTCTGAACTGAAAACATCTGCAAGGCTCTGCAGGTCTGCTGGAGAATTTCAAGGGAGGAGACATCCAGTCACTGGCTGCAAACAATTTTCAAAACCCCCCCAAAAAACAATGTCATATTTGAACATTTGAAATACATAAAAGCATCATAGCTCATGGATGTCACATGTGATGTTATGATTATCATATCAAGAACCAACGGTCACTTATGAGACGAGCAATGGCTCGGTCACATTAACAACAGGATGGCAACTTTGTTGCTGGTGGTTTTGTTGTCACCGCACTGATTTTTTTCACATTCGGAGACTGACTACAAGCAGCTGCAGCAAGAAACAGGTCACCCAGAGGCTGAAGACGTTGCATGCTCGTCAGTGTGAGGCAACCCATCTACAAACAATCGCAGTTGGACTTTGTACAGTCATGGAGTTTGTACAGTCATTTCACCAACGGGTGCATCTTGTTTTTGATGGATCTCAAGTGATTGAAACTACATCACGATTTCTTGAGGCATTTTCGAAGTTCTGTTTCAAATCTCTGAGGTTCTGGAAGTTTGATGTGACTTTCTGTGTCTGAAGACAAGCAACAAATTTCACATTTTTTAAAGTTAATTTCTGTATTATCACAAACAGACTGCATGTAATTGACCCTTTACTCGTGGGCTGTAAACAAACAAACTTTGTCTTATTACCATAAAAGTTGCTTTGAACACGACACCTGGTCCCAGTCTTCTGAAGCAACTATTTAGCAGTATCTTGATTGTGCTCCGGTCTCCAACCACTGTTTTCCTCGGTGTGACTGCAGCACAACAGAGCTTTCATAGGCAGTTAGCAGCCCGCTGCTTGTCACCAACTTATTGCTCAAACTTTCTTGTCAAATTGCACAACCAATCACCTCCTCTTCCTGGCATAACAAGACGTGACCCTGCCAGCTTGGTTACGATTATGTTCAGTTTAGCAGGTTGAACTTCCCAGTATTTGAAAACTCAGTTTAAACCTTGGTCAGAAGGTGGCAGATAATGAACTGCCTCCTATCCTCATTTGGACCAGAATTTATGGTCCGGGGTTGAATTCTTCCACTCAGAGATTGCCTCCCATTGCCTTTGCTTATCTTCACACTGCGTTTGTGGTGTGCCAGCATTGGGAAGCAGGGATTTAACTGACATGAACCCACGGTCATCCAGAGACAAAACAAACATTTTGTGCAGCTTTGATGGTGCAAACCAATCATAATAACCAAGCTTTAACCAAATCAGTGCTTGGCTTTTCTTCCACACTGCCACAGGTGGATAAAATTCTGTTTTACGTCACATGCTTGATTTTGTGTAACCACAGAGCATCAGTGGGTACAGAGGTTTATCTTAGCGGTCTGCCCCGTGAATCAGGCTGGTGTAGATATAAAATTAAGAGATGGTCAGAAGTGGATAGGGAACTGCTTTCGTGAAAAGTGTGACTTACTGTTTCTCAACATCCTCCACCATGCGGTCAATGCCATCCTTTGTGGGAACATGGGTGCCGTAGATCAGGCTATTGGACGTGGGGTGGAAGTCCTCACCGCTGTGGAGCACCAGCAAAACAATTAGAAATGCATAACCACAGATAATCGGCACTTTAACATTCCTAAATCCACTTTTCTATCCCATCATTGTGATTATGCACATCCCAATGAGGGAAGATGATGTTGCTTTGGGGCCAGTCGTGATGGTGCATCCTTCATGGTTCTGCATGTGGCGGCTTTTACAGTCTGGAAAACACCTCCAGGGCAGTGAATTCCTCTCTGACCTTGGTGCGCATTCTCCACATTAAAAAAAATAAATCTTTAAATTATTTCTGGAGTGTGCAGCTACGTTAACATATCGCCCAGGGCAAATCGGGGATATGCAAATTAATATACAGAAAATGCTTTGCACACACATGATGGCGGGCGTTATAGATCAATATCACCAAGCTTCATTTTCTCAATTAATTTTACTTGACTGGAAATTTCACAGTTCGGGTCACAGAAAGACCTCCTCATGCATCATTTTTATTACACTGTTAGAGGAAATTCGTAAAACTAACTCCCAAGGACATTTCTTCATAATTTGAGTGGTCTGTGTAACCGGATTAATCTTAAGACTCCAGAAGTGCTAGTCAGTTAAATGTAATATTTATTTGAATCAACGTACAAAATCTAACTTGCAACATACGTTAGTTAATAATAACTGGATAAACTCATTAAGAAGGCCAGCTCTGTTCTGGGATGCACCCTGGACCCAGTGCAGGTGGTGGGAGACAGAAGGACTCTGGCCAAAATAACACCTCTGATGGACAGAGTCTCCCACCCCATGCAATGCTGCTGAACTGCAGAGCTCCTTCAGTGACAGACTGCTGCATCCTTGATGCATGAAGGAGCGTTTCTGCAGGTCCTTCCTCCCTGCAGCTGTCAGACTGTACAATCAGAACTGCTCCCAACAAACACGGATGTTTACATCAGCGCTGTAACTTGCACTATTTTATCAACCGATTCACACTATAACCAGATTTTGCCTCTTAACTTCATTTAATTTTATTTAATTTAATAATGGTACAGTACTCTGTTTTTGGTAACCATTGTCCTTGATGTAAATATGTAAAAATTGTTTATGTTTCTGTTCTGTGTCTTGTATACTGTTTGTTTGTATATGTGTCTTTCTTGCTGCTGTTATACCCAAATTTCCCCATCTGGGACAATTAAAAGGATTCTTCTTCTTCTTCTAGTTTTGGTTCCAAGATGCAGTGATGCCCTTAATGGGGGTTTTACTACAAAGATGCGCCAGTAGTAAATCTGTAAAACAATGGGCCTCGTTTTTGTCGCTCCAATTCCCTGTTTTCTCCCTGTCACATGGTGATGTGCAAAAAAAAAAAAAATCAACGTCAGCTACCATTTTGGCATTGCTTCGGCCAGTTTCCACAATTTTTGGTGGGAGACTGATGTGGTGGTATTGTCCAAGCGACAGCAACTATCGCTATACTGCAGCGACTTCCTGTGTGACGACGATGAATGCCAGTGGAGGGTGTACTGGGAACGCAAACGTCCCCAGTTCTGTGATTTTGAGTCTTTGCAAACAAGTTGGTGCCTTCCAGGCAAACTAAAGAAGCTTTCAGTAAGGTGCTGTGTGCCTCTATATCTATACGTTCATATTTCCCCTGCCAGCAGCCACTCACCACCTGGCTGGAGAATACAGAGGTTGCTTGGGGTCTGACGGAGGCCCAACTCACCTTTCCTCCTTTTGCTTCTCGTAATTTTCCATGTCTGGCCTGATCTGCTTGGTAAGCCTCTGGTACTGCCGGAACTGGGCTTCTGCATATCCTGTAGTCCATCATGTGTGCGTTTGTGTGTGAGAGGAGGAAAGGAAAAAAGAAAAAGAGTTATAATTAGTGGAACAAACAGCAAGCAGGCACGAGGCTCAGCAATCACAATCTGCGGCTTGTTAAGGAGGGCTGAAGAGGCATCTCTCCACGTCAGCCCCCCCCTCCCTTTTTTTTTGAAGCCCCTCTGCTGATTATTTTCTCCCCAGAGGTTTTAATTCAGGGGAGGTTTTGATGCCACACATGGCAGCCATATTTAGGAGACACAGCAAATGTTTTTTTCCCAGCAGATTAAAGCAGGAGCAGTCTGACACGGTAAGGCCAGGATCTGTGTTCACAAAGCTTCCTGATGCTAAAGGTTGTTCCTAGTCACAAAGATCCTGGTAAAGATAAAAGCTATCCACAAAGGCATTCACCTTCTATTCCAACTCTTCCAATAGGAGCTACACTAAACCTTGCCATCAATGAAAAAGTACAGATGGTGTGATGAAAAGTAACGGCTACCAAACAGTCAGAAAAATCAAACCAGCACCAAAATGGACAGAAAGAATGGTACAAATAGCAAAGACAAGCATTTCCGTAAGAAGCTGGCTCCCTACATTTTGCTGTAATGTCGGCTCAAAGCATCTTTCATTCATCTATGTCACTCGAATTTTTTGTGATAAAGAAATTGGAAACTAAACAGAAGACGAGAATCACGGTGCACCACTTTCTCAAGAGTAAATTAAGTTAAGTAAGTATCTAGTAAACGATTGGACTGAGGCTCTTTGGCGTGACAAGACGGTTGCCCACGGCTAAAATAAAGCTGTTTGATCTGATCACCTTATAACATCTGCAAAAGGATTCCTCAGCCAATACAATCATTAGACGTGGTCTATTTTTACACCGTATTAAACATTGTTCAGCAATCATGCTGGACGTTAAAGAGGATGAGAATCATGCAATCAGATTAGAATTCTTTTAGGATTCAAGCTAAATAAGGTGGTGCTGTTAGCCTGAGCTTCAAACTTGATTCAAACAGACATTTTTTGGTAGGTTGGTGACAGTCTGGCTCTTCCAAAGAACACAACACAGGTCAGCTGCAGAGTTTCTGTGTATGCTGACAAAAAGTAAATAGAAGGGTGTGCTCCTAGTCTCCTTAGAAAGACCTCAGAGAGGTCTTACGTTAGCCTAGAAAGTACCAACAAGAGGAATTTCAGCTTATAAGTGATTTAGGATTTTTTTTTTATAGCAACTCTGAGCAAAGAAGGGACTAAAAATGTTACATCCATTAGGAGGTGAAGCTAACATTGTTGCTAAATATGACATATTTAACTAAATAAATAGTGGAAAAAAATATCTTAGTCTTGGACATAATGAAGAATCACTCGCTGATATTTGCTTCTATACATTAACTCAAATTTCCAGGAGAAAATCATTCAGCTTTTACCAGCACACTGAAGTCCACTGCCTGTAAAAGCTTTTTAAAGTCTAAGATGTGAAAATTAAATGCACCGCGAGTGCTGTGCAACTGTCTATGATCACTCTGCTGGTTAAATCTGGGCAGACCTGTTACATTTTTCCTGCTGCCAAATATTTTACTGACACCTTAACATTACCGTGTAGGCGAATATGAGCAAATCTTTAATGGGATCGACCACAGATTTTTGTCGCTGTTCACTATTTCCTCTTTGTTTTTTTAAGTGCCAGCGATGACACTAACACAAACGCAGGGTCATGTTGTGGCTAGTTTCTACAGCTTTGCAACCACTGCTATTATGATGGCATGTTTAACCAATTAGTCTAATAACCACACTATAAAATGTTAGACTGCACAAGTAGATGATAAAGTCATCTGTCACTCATCCTTCTCCGACTCAGCTTTCTAACACATTTTTTGCCATTAATAAATAGAAGAATAGAGTCATTAGAAAATAATCTGCATCTGTCTTTAGTGGAACAACCGACCTGCAAATCCTGTGTCGGGATTCTTTTTCTTCTTTTTCCTCTCCCACCTCTCTGCATCGTCAGCAGTGATGTCCAGCAGTTTCACTCTGTTATAGTCCTCCCCACGAGCAGCACACTCCTGAATCAGTAATCGATACTTAATAATCAACTCAAACTGGGAAAAATTCAGCTGCACCACCGCAAAACTTTTAGATATTGTGATTCTAGTAAATCCAGCATAAAACTGCCACAGTATTTTTGGGTAATGAGATAACACGTTATGTTGTGCTACATAGAAGAGAAACAGAATTTTCTGACAATGCCTGGAGGTGATTCACTTTAGACTTTGGGGCAACTGCACTAGTAATGATATGAGATTGACAAGGATGCAGTTAATACAGCTGTCGTGGATACCTAAAAATCACTTTAAGAGTCCTGGTGGGGATTTTGCATGTTCTTCGGTATGATGGTATTTAATTAGCCTGAAATTAGGACCAGTATATCAGTACATCCAGTGTACCAACCCAGGACTACTGAAAAATTGAAATACCTTTTTCTTGTCATCTTCAGCAAGCTCCCACTCCAGTCGGGCTTTCTTAGCCTCCCAGTTTGAGGGCAGCTTCAACCTCTTGTCTTCCTCCACGACCTCCTGGTGATTGAGCTTACGTGCTTCATTCTGCAGTGACAAATAACACAAATGACAGGTTTGAGGAGAAGCTGCATGAAAGAAAAAAAGGGAAAAAACTAAAATACAATACACCTGTAAACCTCTATACCTCATTTCATGGGTCACACCTGGCCCAATTTGATCAAAATGGGTAAGAAAAGTAAGAGTAACACACAGTACTTATCTTAAGAAGATGTTTACAGAGACATCTTCTGTTATAGTACATTAACATATCTACTGTTGGAAACCTACAATTCAATAACAATGTGTTTTGAACTTGTCGTTCAGTCCCACAATTCCCCAAAAGAGCTCTACTTTGAGTTGCTGTAAACACGCCTTTAGAAGTTAAACTTTCAGCAAATAAGCTTTTAAAAAAAACGGGGGGGTTTGTGTTTTGTTTGTTTTTTAAGCTTATTTTTGTTCTTTATGCCCTGATTACTCTCCAAGTGCACTGGGGGGTGTTATAATGGCTGCATGGTCCAGAGAATTACTACTGATACCAGCAGCCCAAGTTTAAAAACATTATTTCCTTACTAGAAGAAAAGTTCTTCTCTTGTAAACAAGAACCGATGAACAGCCTTAGATTTTCTTTTAAAAAACAAATATTCAACAGCAGATCTCACTTTATCCACATTAATCACACCATCACGACACTAGGAGCAGCAGTGAGTTTCATTGAAAAACTGGGTTAGTTAATGACCTTACTGCAACTGCCATCCATTGGGCCGGTGTCACACCAAAAAGTGATTGCTGAAGTCTCTATCTGTGATATATTTGCTTATATTAACAAATAGTGAGCAGGATGTGTTAGTGAGTTTTATATAAAATAAAGAAATTACCTGCTTTGCAAACATCTTTATGACTGTGTTATTGTCACTACCCTGTATGATTAATCAAGTCCTTTTTTGCCCAATCTTTATAGAGCTGTTGTGCTTGTGAGCTTCTGCTTTGTGACAGGAATGTTTTTTTGGGCTCAAGATGATTCGATATCATTCGTGAGAGATATGTTTGAGATATACTGGTCATATTCAAGCTTTGTTTTTCACATGCCACTGGTTTGCACACTACAGTGGATCGATTCCGGCCTTTGGGACCCCAATTTGCTGACCATGCGGTTAAACATGAGGTTTCTGTGATTTTACGACACATTTGACTGAAGCTTTGAAGTTAAATAGCTCACCCGTTTGAAATGCAGCTCTCGAAATTTTCGTAGTCTCGCTTCTCTCTTCTGGGACGTGACGGTTTCAGTCGGCTCCTCTTCGGCAGTTGCAGCAGGCTCCTGCTAACAAAGACAAAGACAAGTAAAACGTTTTAATTCAAACTGTTCAATGAAGAAGAGACGCCTGAGAACAACTGACAGTCAGAAAGCTAACGCTTATTAGCCGCTTTAATTCCCGTTAGCCTCGTACACAAAACACGACATTTTAACCAACAAACACGACGAAGAAACACAACTTCTGTCAGCAACACGACACATCGCAATCTAACGAGTTACATCCATCTACCGTATCCACTATCCATTAAAAAAAAACCTAAATAAAATACAAATAACAAGGAAAAAGCGCTAACCTCGCTACAAGACGCCATTATTGTTGTATTGATGTGGAAGAAAACAGGAAGTTCAGCACTAGCGCCGGATATTACGTACAAGAAGAAAGCAACGCAATTACAGCAACAAAACGTAAATAAAGCAAAGATAATCGATTAATTGCTGAACAACATCGGTTCATATAACGGCAGAAATCAAATATGATATAATCTCAGCTCCACTTTCAGATCATCAACTTATTTTTATTGAAATAAACAACTTAACAACTAAATTTTAATGGACGAGTCACTAAACTTAATAAAAATAATATAATAATATAATAAAAAGCAATACAAATAAATAAATAAATAAAATACAGAATTTATAGAATACAGTTATTATACAAAATTCACGTAGGAAGAATTGATGAAGATTACGAACTTAGAAAATAGTTTATAAAAGCTCCAACAACATAAAAAAAAAAGAAAATCTATCATTAGAAGAACAGACAAATCTAAAAGATTTACAACTTAAGTATAAAAACATTTATATTTCAAGGGCTGAAGGAGCTTTTATTCATTACTGAAAAAATGGCTAGAAAAGGAAGAAGAATGTATCTTTCTTAAACTTGAAATAAAAAGGAAAAAAATATTTTAAAATTAAACGTCAAGAGTAATATAACTGAAGACCATATTCAAAATTCTTCTTTAAAAACAAAATCAGTGAAAAACTTTAAGTTACTCCTTTTATGGACTCACTTAACAATATTAAATAATCATGCAAAGATTTAAGGGGAAAAATTAAAATTCTCCTGGCACAGATGGATTAACTGTAGAGCTTTGTAAAAATCTTTAAGAAGCTATCTTTATTTCTTTATAAAGTAAGCACAGAAACTGGGAAGCATGGGTCACTTACCTCTATAGTGACTCAGGGACCAGTGTTGGTGTTATGGATGGGCCTCAGGGGTCCAGGCCCATCCAGTAAAGTCAGTGTGTCGTTTCAGCTGAATGGTACTCAAACACTTCAACTATAAGTTATAGTGACTCATACAATTTGGGTGATGAAAAACATGAACACCCATATCACTGATAAGTGCCGTGAAATCTCAGTTTAATTATTTAGCTCACAGTAATTCAATACTTTTGCACCGGTCATGGAAACCAGCATGACTGAGTGGATTGGTCGATGCAGGTCGCACCTTGGGAAGTACGACTTCTGTCTCTTTGAAATCAAAAAGAGGTGATTTTAGGTTGTGCAGCTAGTTTGAAAGCATGACCCTACTGAAAGCTGCAAAGCAAATTGAAATGTGTTGAAGATATTATGAGCTCACAGTCAGCTGTCCTAGTGTGAGTGAGTTCATAGATCCACTTCTGGTCCCATTATCACCAGTAAGCTGGCAGATGATACCACCCTATTTCTAAAGGATGAATATGAGACTAAAGATGCGCTTTATTAGACCTTCTTTTTTATATGATATGTAAATATCTTAGAATGTCTTTAGAAACAAGTTCAACCCTCTGATGAAATCAGTTGAACACAGTTTTAGTTCGTGACTCCACAGACACCCATCTGTTTTAGGGAGAGCTTTAATTGCAAAAGCAGGAGAGTTTTTGCAGACTGTTGCATACAACACCAGTTTTTTATTTATTTGGAAAAACCATAGTATTAGGAAAGCTGTCTTAATGAATAAGCCTGATAAAGGTGGAATCGTTGCCTTTGATTTTGCAAGTCTTTATCACTTCACTTTTAAAATCCAATGGTTTCAAAATCTCATTAAAATCGGACCTTAAAATCTTGAGAGTTTCCCATGAATGGATCCAAAATGTTAATATGATGATCTCTGAGTCATTTAGTCATCCCTTTTGCCTTGTGACATGGAGTGGCAACATGCTGGAAAGTGCACAGCCTGTCACCAAATTGCTCCTGAAGAAACTGATGCTTGTGGATGATTTTAGTGGTCAGACCTTAAAAAGCCGAAACCCACAAACTGAACAACATGGCCCTTCGATAAGAGATGAATGGCTCGATCATGCAGCATGCCACAGAAGTCAACTTGGTAAGTACAGCCTCTTTGCATACACTTGATTTATTTAATGAAACTAATTGTTCTTCACTCTATCACAGAAATATGTAAAAAATAATCTAAACGTAAACTGATATTAACTGTATGAAACAAAATTTCAAGCTCGATCTTTTCTCAAACATTGTCGTGATAGCAAACATCTCACTTCATTTTATGATAAAAGATTTAAAGTAATTTGAAGAATGTTTTGTTCTCTTCCTGTGTTTGCGGATTTTTTGTTATCTACGTATCATCTGAATGCTATTCAGCTATCCTGTCTACAAATGTAAGATTGTTTCATGAGGTTATTAGACATGAATCATTAACAAACATGTTCTGTAACTACGAGAACTCATGATTATTTATTGTGACACTGCATCAGTTGTGTGCATGCTTGGTCTTTTTATTGTGGTACCATGGCAAAAGTAATTGGTAGACACAATTTATTATACAATAAAGTCTTTGTGTATAATTTTAAACCAGGGCATTTTACTTACTTTTGAAGTTTAAATTCATTGAAAAATACTGCTATACAAATGGAAACTGGCATGACACACACAGAGAGCAATTATGAATATGGCTGGAGGTTATAAAATGAGAGACTTGAAAGGTCAAGCATAAAGTCATCAGTGTAACACACAGAGAATCTGTTTAGACTCTCCTAAACTCAATTGTTATGGTTGTTTTTGCCACATAGAAATATACCACCAATGCATCTTATTTTTACCCACAAAAACACAAGTATCAATCAAGGCCTTGGAACATGGGACGCCTAAATATGATTCTATGATCTGATCAGGAGATGAAAGTAAACACTTTCAAGACTCATTTGATCATGTTTGACTTGCCAAAATGGATGTACTCCCTGTTTGATTGCATTATACTAATAGAGCTCTTTTGGAGGATGTAATTAAGTGGAGTTTATACTCTTAGATTAAAGCATCCTCTAGATCACAGGCAATGTTAATGGAGTGATGCATTTTCACTGGAAACCAGATGGGAGCACATCACAACAGAGCAAAACATCATTGGCTGCAGTAATGGGCAGGGCTCTACTACTGCCATGCAAAGGAGAAAATATCTTCCTAATGAATGACTCTCAAATGAGTAAGAGAGTAACGGGTAAAAAACAAGAATGGGACAAAACAGCATTTCCTCTGTATCTGATTCAGACTTAAAATGGCAGCGTGCAGAACAGTTGCAAAACAACAGGAAAGGGGAATTTAAGGCTGGTGTGTATGACTGTTAAGTATCCAGACAAGCGTGAGAGTTTACAATATATCAGTTGTGGGTGTGCTATTTTTCTCCAATAGCTGTTAATCTCTTTGTCATCCACGCATGATTCAGTGTTCTCAAGTACTCTCATATGTTAGCTAAACTTCCCTTTGCTCACTTCCCTGGAAGCTCCGTCGTGTTGTGCTATCTGTCCACGGGGAAGTGAAAGAAATGGGCAGACAGCTTGTTAGCAAGCAGCAACTTCAACCTCAATGTTTAATGTTCATGTCATGCGCAAAGCCAAAGCTCAGTAACATGCACTCCATTATAATGTAAATATATAAATGATTAAAGAGAATCAGAGACCTGTAATAATTAGAAGATTTGCACAACAGAAACATGAGTACTTACAATAAGAGTGAGCACTACTCTAAGTTTAAACCAGATACATGGTAACAGTAATCCAAAAACAGTGTGCAGCATAAAGCAAACAGCGATTGCACGTCATTTAAATTATTGGACTGAAGTTCATTTGCGGTGCATGGGTCACAAGAATCAACAAAAACTCACATATTATATAAATACTGTGTACTAGCAGACTTTCTAAAAAACAGGCCACTCTTAGCAACCTTTTATATTACCTT